CCCATTGAACTACTTCAACTACTTCAGCTATCATGGCTGCCTCCTAAGGTCTGTATTAGCAGAAAGCTGCGATCAGGAGCTAGAGCCAGAAATAAACCCAGGTCCTCTGATGTGGAACCTGGTATCTTCTTCTTTGTCTTTTTTTTTTTTTTTAAGTAAGATTTATTTATTTCCAAAGTCAGAGTTACAGAGACACACATACACAGAAAATAGAGAGAGAGAGGAGAGAGAATCTACCATCTACTGGTTCACTTCCCAGATTGCCCCAACAGCCAACACTAGGCCAGACCAAAACCAGGAGCTGGAGGCTTCATCTGGGTCACCAACATGGGTGGCAAGGTCCCATGTACTTGACAGTCAGTCTCCCATTGTTCTCCTAAGCACATCAGCAGGGTGCTACATCAGAAGTAGAGCACCTGGGACTTGAACCAGCACCCATATGGGATGCCGGCATCACAAGTGGCAGCTTAACTCTATGCTCAATGCCAGCTCCAAGAGACCTGGCATCTAACTGGCTTTGCTAAACTCCTGTCCCATCCACACTCTTAAAGTATATTATATAAAACTCATATATCTTGCCTTTTAGACTATGAATGTTTGCAGAGTTAGGTTTGTATCTTACTCAACTTTTCATCCTCAGTGCACAGCACCATTCTTGGTTCATATTAAATATTCAGTGTTTACTCAATGAATAAAAATGAAGGAATATACACCTTTCTTAAGATATTTTTAGTTACTTTTAGAAGTGATTTTGCAGGATCTACTTGCTTACAGTTATCTATTTTTTTAACTCTTTCATTTATAGGTATATCCTACATTTCTATCAGGATCACTGGTCAAATAGATATTTAAGAAATTATACTTTCTAGCACATCTCTTAAGACTAGCAAGTACTTTCTGCCTACTGCTTCAAGAATGGCTCTGAAATCTAATCAGAAATGATAGTTAACAAGACTATACAATCACCCAAGCAAGAAAGTTCCATTTAAATATGCCATCTGGAAATTATAAGCAACATTCTAGGACAGAGTAAGATACATACAGTTATTTGTTAAATGCTTATTGAATTTCTTTCTCCCATAATTTTTAAAGTACCTTGTTTTTAATAAGACAAATAAAATGAATAAGCCCTTCTTATTTAAAAATTTAGTAAGAGAGAAGAGAGATGGTAATCACTAACTGGTAAAGTCTAGTGTTTTGGTCTATAATTGGAATGGTTCAAAATCAATTAGAAGTTATTCTAATACATGTTATACAGACATAAGTTGTTCAATCTAAGTATTCAATTTAGAGAAAAAGTTACTAAAATAATTTTAGAGGCTGAAAAATACAAATCATCAACATATTCTGCAGAAAAGTTTCTTTTTTTATTCCAGTTTGTTAGAAAAATCAGAAAATTATAATAGCAAGTGACACTCATATTAGGGTCACTTCACCAAAGTGTTCCCTTAGCCTAATATCCTTCACTTATCTGCTATACACACAAGAGATTAAAAGTAAATTTCGATTGGAGGACTAATGCTTCTATAGGCTTAATCACAGTACTCCTTTAGCAAAAGTGTATGACATTAATGTCCCCAGCCATACTCAGGGGGTGCTCCAAGAAAACCACTATGGAAACATCCAGACTAAGGAACTCACAAGCCTGAATTTCTCTATAGTTTTATATGGTAGCCTGAGCCGGGATAGCAAATTAAGACCAGAGACTATCCACTAGGAATTTATTTCCAAACTGTTCGATCTGTCATAATCACAGTTACAAGGAACTTCACAGTCTAGAAAACTCTTCCATATTTCCATATATTAATATGTCCCATTTAGTAATATGTGACTGTCTCTATGGTAATGTACAAATAACAGTATAACTACTTATTTTTAAAAATATTTATTTATTTGTAAGAGCCATGGGGGGGGGGGGAGAGAGAGAGAGAGAGAGAAAGAGAGAGAGGGAGGGAGAGAGAGAGAGAGAGATATCGAGATCGATCTTCCATCTACTAGTTTATTTCCCAAATGGCTGCAAGTCAGGTGCCAGGAGCTTCTTCTGGGTCTCCCATATGGGTACAAGGGCCCAAGCACTTGGGCCATATCCTGCTGCTTTACCAGGCATATTAGCAGGAAGCAGGATAGGAAGTAGAACAGCTGGGTCTGGAATCAGTGCCCACATGGGATGCTGGTGTCACAAGCAGCAGCTTTATCTGCTATACCACAATACTAGCCCCAGTATAACAACCTTTGATATGCAGCCTACTGATCATTAAATATTAGTATAAGCAGTCTTTCACTGAATTGAGTGAAAATTTCAGGTTTTGTTATTCAAAGTTGAAAGCATCAAATGAATGATTCAATCAATTTTACTGATAAGTATCTTTGCATAAATGTAATGTTAAAATCCAAGAAAGACTATAAAGCAGGAAACCTAATGAGATAACTTTATTTATCTATGATAGGTGCTAAGCAAATTATCGCCAAGTGAAACCTTTTTTATGGGCAATAAATCAGCCTAACCAATTCTCTTACAGTTTCATATATCAAAAGAAATCAACTTTATTTTGGAATATGCCATTTTAATGAAATTTTATCTTGTGTGTGTAAAATCTGTAGTTTCCATCTGGCGCCGCAGCTAAATAGGCTAATCCTCTGCCTGCGGCGCCGGCACACCAGGTTCTAGTCCCGGTCGGGGCGCCGGATTCTGTCCTGGTTGCCCCTCTTCCAGGCCAGCTCTCTGCTGTGGCCCGGGAAGGCAGTGGAGGATGGCCCAAGTGCTTGGGCCCTGCACCCACATGGGAGACCAGGAGAAGCACCTGGCTCCTGGTTTTGGATCAGCGCAATGCGCCGCCACAGCGCGCTGGCCGCAGTGGTCATTGGAGGGTGAACCAACGGTAAAGGAAGACCTTTCTCTCTGTCTCTCTCTCTCTCACTGTTCATTCTGCCTGTCAAAAAAAAAAAAAAAAAAAAATCTGTACTTTCTCATTTGCCTTATAGTTCCATCACTGGTACTATTACATTAAAAGTGGCAATGTAATTTTGTTACTTTAATATAGAGGAACATCATACCTTAAAGGAATTTAAAATTTTTAATATGGACAGAATTAGATTTTGAATAACGATGCTACCTTAAATTTGAGAAATCATTCCATTCTCTTTCACTGCATTGCCTCATTTGTGGTTCCTTTAATTGTTTATTAAATTGAATTCCTAGGTGTTTCTATTTTTAGTTTTTAACATTATTTGTTTTATTTTGATGACAGTTACTTAATAACGGATGCTACACTTTAAAAATGAAGACTGAAATATTCTATCATACTTCATAGTCGGTCCTGCAATTCATTGAGAAATAGCTCTAAAGCCTTAAACAGGGCCTTTATTTAGTGTTTTTAAAAGAGTGTCATAAGGAGTTAATAGGACACAGCTGTACTGGCTCTTTCTAATAAGCAGCTTCTGTCGCTTTGGTCACCACAGGTGTCTCTGTAACCTGCAAACTCTTATTACTAGTGTATCAAAGTTGTGCTACTTAACAGACTTCTTTAGTAAAACATAACAAAGCAATTACATGGCTGTTGATTGCAAGTCATAAAAAAACCCTCAAACACTGTTTTTCAAAAGAAACTACACTGCAATTTTTTGTCATTGTAAAATAAAAGGAACTAAGGAATTAAATGGAAGATAGAACAAAATAACAGCAGGTAGCCTGCTGAACTTAGCCACTACAGATGGTTTAGAAATAGTGTTTCCTTCTCTATCAAGTTTTGGATAAAAGGAAAGGAGGAGATTCCTTACTGCCAGTGAATGGGGAAAGATTTAGCCAAGTCTCTAGTCTACGTATTTTACTTCATGAAAGACCTTCGATGCTGCATTTTTATCTGTTTTTGGCACTGCTTTTCATCACCTTTAACTGAGTGTGAATAATAACCTAATTTAATTTAAACAAATACAGGTGCTAAAGGTTCTTTATTTATGTATAACAGGGAATATTTCCAAGGCAGAAAGGAGTCATCCTGGAAATTTCCTAACCATTTGCTTAAAGAAATGAAGTATTAGATGAAGAAATTGCTTCAACATTGTTTTGCCTCACATTTAAGGGAAGAACCATCTTTCTTTTCAGATTCAGATTACATATAACAAAATCTGAGTGATGACCAAAAAAAAGCCAGTGAGCCGTACAATAAAAAGACAAAACAGATGATTTCTAATTGTTGTATAATTGCTTAAATTAGGTAGCTATAATAGGCTTGTGTTGAAATGAATTAATTTAATCTTCTTGTTCATGAGCCATCAGCCTTTGATTATGATTATGTTAACACACCCATAGTAGCATCATGGGATGTTACGGACATATGTGAAATTAAACATGATTAAATATATTTGAGATGGGAAGCTCAAATAGGCAAAATATGAAGAATTATTCATCACTTACAGATATTATGATTAACAAACTAAGTAAACTTATCCTGACAGTTAGGAAAGGGATTTTTTTTTTCCTATTGAGAATATGGATGTATTGCTGGCTCTGTGCAAAAGAATGTGTGCAATAAAGCGATGACATCAATTAGCATATGCTAGAGTTAAGCTATTTCCAATTCCACTGGACTGGTTCAGAATGTCCTGCCTTTTTCACTGAAGTTATTAAAAAATAAACTTACCAGTAGGATTGTGTATTAGATTTGCTTTGTCTTTTCTGGACATCATTAAAAACATTTTCTTTAAATGTTCAATAACATTTTAGAAATGCAGTATACCTGTTTTATTGCAAAAGTAGAGGACAGACATGTATTTTTGTTCTTATTCTTGAATTTAAGAAGAATGTTTTATAAGTTTAGGTATTAGTTTCATAATTTTAAATAACTACTCATGTCAGCCAAAACAAATAGCTTTTATATATTGAAATGTAATGGTAGTGAACTGAGTGCTAAGGATGAAAAACGCTTACGATGAAAAACTAAACACAATGATATCTTTAAAAAAAATAGCAGCCCAACTTAACTTGTGAACAATAGTATTACCTTGCTCTGTTGGCGTCCTTTGTCAGATCCCAAGCCCAGGTTATAAAATTTTGACTCAGATAAGAAACAATAGATTCAGCACAAAGCATTTGTGAGCAGAACACATTGGTTAGTACACTTTCATCATGGTGGAGGTAGATAGCAAGAAGCTTTCTCTGAAAAGAAAAGAAAAGATTGATCAATGATAACATCCACCAATGTTAATATTTCTTGAATTTCAGAGAGGCATTGAAGCATTATCAATCTATAGGAACAATAAAAACAAAAATTAAATGCTATTTTCTAGAAGAGTATCTTACATTTCCTACATTTGGAGTTCCTAAAGCATCTACTAACATGAATAAATTTTGCTTCCCTACATGCTAAAGAAGCTCCAGTAACTACAATTAACATTAAACACTGCCATTGCATAGTTCTGCTTACATGTATAAGCCCATTTTCAAGCAGATATCCTATAAAACTGAATTTTCCTTAAATAAAATGGGTTTATTATTCTTCACAATTATGTATTTAACATGTAAAAAGAAATATTAACTTTGAACTACCCAACCAAACAGAAAAAATATTGATTGAATGGTAAGATCCCTTTTACATACTTTTTTCACTATGAACAAAGAAAAATCTCTTCTACTTGAAAGGGAAAAGTCTGAAATGAAGTTTTAATTCCATGGGTAATTACAAATTCCTTACTGTGTTCCTATAAGTCCTGAGAGCATGTAACATCTTTATCATTTTAAAAAGATAAAAAAAAATTTAGTTTACATGTATTGTTTCCTCCTTATTTTAGAAAATGTTCCATGTGGTTTCTAATATGGAAAATTATAATAACAGTTTGCTCTCTTGAAAGTGTCCCGTTACAGACATTCAATAAAATAATTAAAACTAAAAACTGAAATCGAACAACATAGCTCACAACAAATCAGCTTTAACCACAATGAAATTATGAAAAAAACAAAACTGTTGTTGATTTAACTTCTTAGTGCCACTTTACAGAAAAGCTGAGTGTGAAAATAGTTAAAATGATCAGACAAAAAGGAAAGATAGAATTTGATGGTAAAAACAACCTACAAACCAATCTGTGTAATTCTACCCAAGGAAAATTTCAAAGAAGCTTAGGCTCTTTCCCCTCATATGAAATAACAGTGTGATAAGTCAGTATATGAAAATTTGCTTGTGTGGGATTCTAATCAAAAGAAAGACACTTAAAGAAAAATATAAGGGTCATACTGATGAAAGACTACTCAAGTCTGATGCTTGGAATTATTCCGATAGAGAATGCAAATAATAATAAAGTTCTTAATAAAATATTGTCTGTAAGGGAAAATTTTGTACTAGATGAGGACAGCCAGAGGTAGACAAGCACATTAAGATTCTAAAAGCATGTACTATAATAGGATACCCTATTAGTCACTCTCACAACCATTACGGACTTTAATCTCCAGAATAACCCTGTAAATAGGTACTCTTCACTTCACTAGTACATGAGGAAACAGAGGTTTAGAAAACTGATCTGTACCAAATTTCCACAGCTAGTTGGCAAGAAATATACTGGGAACTGGAACCCAGATCAACTGACCCATGTCTAGTGTTCCTTCTCTGAGACTACTGAGGCAGCAAGAAAATCAGCACTTAAGGCTTGTGGGAGTGCTCATGTAATATGAAGATGCCAGATTGCATATAACATCAGTGCTTCTGGGCTTCTGGAACAGCAAGTAATGGGACTAAGGACAGCACTTCTAGGTATAAGTAGCTCCTCTGAACTAAGCTTGCTTTTACGTGTTAATTCACTTATTCAATCATTCAACAAGCAGTTGTTGAAATACTCTTTGTCAGGCCCAGCAGGAAGCACAGGCAATAAAATGGTGAACAAGAAAGACTCAGGGTTTCTTCATCTATGTTGGTATCTGCAGATAACAGTTGCAGGGTTTCTAGGAAGTTTGTTAATCTGATACATTGTTGGAGAGATACTTATCTAGTAAATTCCTACTCAACCTTTAAGGATCAAAACAAATGCCTCTATGGAACTTTCCCTGCTCTCTCTTTTCATTAGTATTACAATTGTTTACCAGTTTCCCCTCTAGACTAAGTCTCTCAAAGGTGAGGACTGGATCTCCTTGAGTCTTCTTTGCACCCTAAACTAGCATGGGTCACAGCCAGTTTAAGGAAAGAAACATGAATGCTGATATCAACCACAGTCTGCTGGCATAATAGACACCAAATGGCAGCAGCAATGCTAAATCAGTTTTAGTAAACCAAGCAATCTGCTGCTTTAGGGAAAAGAACATGAACCCATCAGCACTAACAAATTCAGAGCTCCTCGTCTTAGGAGCTCTCTTGCTGAATAGACAGAGGGATGTTAACCTCTAATTCGGCTTGATCGTATCTCAGCAACTACATTTAATGAGACACTGGGAACAAGGGAGCTGTCCACTTTTAAATCAGCATATTTCTAACCAAACAATAGCAATGGCTAAATCTTTAAAATGCCTATCTCTCTCAAGAACATTGAAACTGAACATTTAGACTTTGAGAAAGAGATTAGTGATCTACATTGCTATCTCACTGATTTAATTTAAGTGCTCTTCCAAACCAAACACACATGTGCCAAAAAGACTACCAAGAAACCCAACATGCAGAGTTCCCTATAAGTGCAGCCAACAGTGTTGACTGAAACTAAACTTGGAAATCCAGGGGCACTAATGCACAATATCAAGCAATAAAAAAGCATCTCTTTGGCAATATTTAATTTAAAAAAGAAAAAAGAGGCAGGCGAAGATCAGGCACTGTCTGTTTTGGAAGATCAACCATTCTGCATTTCAAAGCATTGGTCCCTGCAATATCCAGGTTACTGTGCTAGAATCTCCACTATTATATCGCAGTTGTGAGAGGGAGGGCAAAGATGTGTTTACTCAGTGATTAGGCCCTTAGAATAAGCCTCTAGCTCCTAGAGAGACAGCTCACCACTTATTCATTTGGGCCAATTCACAAAGCCTAGGAAGATTAAACATCCATGCTGAGAAGACAAGCGAATGCAGACGGCGAAAAAGAAATAAAAATTCTTTAAAAACTCTGAGATGACTTCATTATTTTTCCACAAGGAAACTTTAGGAAAGTGTTTAGTTAGAGAAAAACCCATATTGACCTCTCTCTAAACCCTTAATCTTTCCTTTGTGGTGGCACTGCTTTGTGGTAAGCGACTGGCTCGCCTCGCCCCTCTTTTCACTGGAAGCTGAGAGAAAAAAGGCTCTGGAGAAACAGTTTTCGTTCCAGGGACACAAACCCCTGACACTGTTAAACATGAGATGCCAGCAAAATACACTTAAAAAAATTCCCACTTTAAGCTCTAAACTGAATGTGAGAAAAGAGATGATAAAGAGTATCAGAAGAGAATCTTCAGGATGGGGGTACTCGTCTAACAGCTTTGAAAGGGAAAACTGAATACTCTTAAAATAATCTTTTCTTTCTAATATGCTTCCAATAAAAAATTTTCTCCTGCTTTTGTGACATAAGCAAGTAAAAAAATAAAGACTTAATAAAATGCAAAGATACTAAATCTGGGCAACAGAAAACTCTGATTAAATTATAGGCACGGCTAAATGAGCTCTAGACTCAGATTTCTGATTATCTTATTGAGCTCAATTAAGCACAGGCCACAACAGTGAAAACTGGGTTCAACATATCAACCAATCTGGGAGAAGCTGAAATGGCAAAGAAACTGAAAAACCGCTTTTGTGAAGAAAGAGCAACTAGTACATAGAAAAAGCATAAGAAAATGTTGTCTTCCATTACTATAACCAGTTTTCCTTTTAGCCCATTAATAATTTAGTTCAATAACATTTACAGAGTGTCATGTGGTAGGCACTGTGAATATATAGATGAATTAAAACAAAGTTCCCTTGCTATCAAGAATTGAGCGTGTGGTGGGTGGTGGTGGTGGCAGGGAAAACATTTAATTGTGGCACCATATAACCAGTGGTAATACTGGAGCATTAAAAAGCATGTATTTTATTTGTCCTTTCTAATTTGCAAGAAAGGGTTCTACGCCTGGTAGACCACAAAGGCAAGCAACTCTGCTATACCATGCACAGACCCAGTGTTTGTTATAGTTTTGGTAACACAACATAAAGGAAAGTCTCCAGGTTTTAAGGTAATAGAAAGCTCTATTCTCAAACCAGTTTTGCTACTTACCAGCTATGTGTCCACGAGGTACAATGAATTGTTAATAAAGATTGGGAATAAAGTACATTAAGTACTTTTTTATGATTCCTGGCCCATCACAGTTGCTGAATGAAAGTTAGCTATTAAGATATTTGTGGACTGTCTATGCAAAATAAAGCATATTGAAAGCAATTTCAAGAGAAATGATAGCTATGAAAATGAATTAAAGATTAAGTAGATCCTTCACCTTTCCTTCTGGCAGGAATGTCTGGGATGCTTACTGTGTCCCTGCCTGTAGTGCCTCACTAATCACATTCAGATCCAGGAGCTAAGTCATTAATTGATGCCTAGGAAACATCTAGAAACTAATGTGACTTGGCCTTGAGCTACAGATGCTATTGTATTTAGATATGTAGTATCACACAGAACATTACAGCTGGAAGGATTGAACTATATCTCAAAATAAGCCACTTAGCAGACACTCAGGAACTATTTGCTGATGGAATAAAAAGGAAGTTTCTTTTTTAGTACAAGAACATCTATAATCTATATGCTTAATGATTTTAAAGCTTATTTGACAAATAATTTTTATCAATTTTATTTAAGGTTTTTTGAGTCTAAGAATTAAAGTATAAAATAATTACCTTTGTGTACACTAGGACCTGATTTCATTTCTCTTCTTACTCTTTCTGCTATTTTTCCATTATAATTATCATTACCATAATAATCTGAATAATTATCATGATGATTCCTTTGTTTTTGTTTTAAATTTGGAATGGTTTAGAGAAACAAACAACTGACACACTGGTACATAAACATTCATTTATCCTTTATCTAGATTTACTAATTGCTAACCTCTTGCCATATGTTTTCATCATTCTGTTTTAAAATTCTTTCCCTAAAACATTTGAAAATTGCAGACATTATGACACTTCCACTCTAAATACTCTAGTATTTGTCTCCTGAGTACAATATGCTCCCTTACATAACTATCACA